TTATATCGCTCCTCAAATAAAAATACAGATACTTGAAAAATGCACTTAAGCACAGTAACAAAGCAAAAATAGTAGTTACTGTATGTGGGTTTGGAACAACGTGGAGGTGAGTAAATGATGACAGAATGTTTTGAGGTGAAATATAGAGAGGACAGAAAATAGAATTTAATTTTAAATGACAGCTTTTTCCACAGATTGACATGTTTCTGTCCCTCTAAAGCATCGTAAAATGAATCCATATGAATCGAGCAGTTAAGTCTAAATCCAGTGAAAAGTTAAAATCTCTATGATGAGCAGATTTAATTTTGACTTTTATTCACATATAAACACACATTATGTCACATATAAACACACAGTAAACACATACTGTAGAGCGCCTCACATATGGTAAACATGGGCATCACACGCTAAAACAAACCTCATTGGTTCTCGTGCATCTCCTGCGCACATTTAAGGTTCTGTGTTTACCATAATAATTGCGCTAGGTATGTGTCAATAATTGTTTAGATGTAACTACAAGCCTAAATTAAATCTGTTCATCATATAAAGTGACTCAACACAAGACTTAAACCACTCTATTGATTTGTATTAATTTTACGACATCTTAATGACCTTTTTGGATCTTCTCTGTTTTTGTTACCTGGACTTTCAATGGGACAGAAACCTTTCAGGTTTTAATAAAAAATCTTAAATTTTGTTTCAAAGATTGATCAAAGATCATGATGGTAAGTGATGACAGATTTTTTTTTTTTTTGGTGATCTAACCCATTAAGTCAAAGTCTACACTGCACACAAACACACATTGAGCTTGCACTGGTGAAGCTCCAAACCACCTCATAGATGGAATCTGTTGAGCAACAGTGTCACCTGCAGGGGGGTTTCTGATCAAGACACATTTTACAGTAGGACGTGCACTAACATGCTCTTTAGCGTTCTTATTTTATAGATGCTTTCCACAAACATGGTACAAAATAAGACAACATGTTAAAAAAATGAAGTATTTTTTCTTCAACAATTGGCCAATTAAATGGTCAGTTAACCTTTGGAATATGTTGAATGTTGCTCTCAGGAAGTCAAGCTAAACGAGCTGTTTTACATTATATTATTGTTATATATTTTTATATAAAATATTTTTATATACATTTACAAAGTCTAAATACAATTGAATATGTGATTTTTCAGTTTTTCTTGTCATTAACATTAAATAAGCACACAAACAAAATAGACAAAATATATATGATTTTATTTTATAAATAAAATAACTAATTTTAAAATCTATGCCAGAATGGGTACCAGGGCTGCAAATTTATCATAAATTAAATTATGACTCACTAGAGCTATCTAAAACATTGCTGAGGTCTCTTTTCTTCATTTTCCTAATAACTAGGCCCTGATATCATAGTGATTTCCAAGACAAAAGTGTAGTTATTAGTTCAGCATGTTGTTGTGGATGTGTTAATCTCACTGTCAGTGTTGGGGGTAACGCATTACAAGTAACGCGAGTTACGTAATCAGATTACTTTTTAAGTAACTAGTAAAGTAAAACATTACTTTTTAATTTAAAAGGAAATATCTGAGTTACTTTTTCAAATAAATAATGCCAGTTACTTTGTTTCCCATGTCTTGACTGACAGCTCTCGTGTTGCCATGTTGAGAGAAATCTGGAGTAAGTGGGAGGCGTTGTGTGCGCTGTGTGAACATGATACTTACTGTAGTTCAAAACTAAATATGAATGTATTTACTCATCTCACCTGCACAAAAACAGATTCAGTATACCTCAAAATGAATAAAAACAAATGCATATCAGAATATATATACAAACCTGCAATAATTAAATGGTAAATAACACAAATATAATTTATGTATTTAATCCCATTTTATTAACCAATGTCTTTGCTACTGACCTTCGATGATCCAACTCAACCATACTAAGCAAAAATGAGACATTTGTGTTTCATTTTTTTATTGCTGAATAGTGTTGAACTTTCCTCTCCTGCATTATATTCTTCATGCAATTTGTTTGAGCCACGCCCTCTACTGTACAGACATGAATTTACATTTCCTTCAGCCTGACGCGTATTCATTTCACTTTTGTTGTGAAAAAGGCCTTTACATTTGTAAAAGAAGAACTTTTTATATTAAAAACAAACAAGCAAGCCCTGCCCAGATGTAAAAAATAACTCAAAAGTTACGTAGCGCATTACATTTTTTAGGGAGTAACACAATATTGTAATGCATTACTTTTAAAAGTAACTTTCCCCAACACTGCTCACTGTTATGTTAAATTACATTCTGTATTCAGCAGACAGTAAACGTACATAAATCCCACATAAATTTAATGTGTTGTAATGCATAATGCAAGTTATTTTTGGTAGTTCATTATTATTAGTTTATTAGTTATTTTTGGCAGCCGTGGCCTAATGGTTAGAGATTCGGACTTGTAACCAGAAGGTTGTGGGTTCGAGTCTCAGGTCCAGCAGGGATTGTCGGTGGGGTAGAGTGAATAACCAGCGCTCTCTTCCACCCTCAATACCATGACTGAGGTGAGAACCTTGAGCAAGGCACCAAACCCCCAACTGCTCCCCGGGCACCGCAGCAAAAATGGCTGCCCACTGCTCCGGGTGTGTTTTCATGGTGTGTGTTCACCACTGTGTGTGTGTGCACTTGGATGGGTTAAATGCAGAGCACACATTCCGAGTATGGGTCACCATACTTGGCCACATGTCACTTCACTTCATTTTTACTTGTGCTTATTTTGCTCATTTTAGTTGGGTTTTTTTCTTTCTTTTATAATAAGGGTGAAACTGTGTCAAATTCAAGTCATATCAATAGCCTAAAGTAATAAAAGCTGTTTTATTTTATATGGACGTGTTGAGTTCAAATGACCAACTGAATTTTAGTAATCCTCAGACAGGATTGACTGTGAATATTCCACAGTTCATCAACTGAAAACTTTTGCTGCATTCACCATACTAAGTGTCAGTCCAAGACAACTGCCCTAACGTTAGTGCAACTTAAACAAAAGTTTTTATTCTGTGGCAAAGTCCTCTTTAACATTCTTTTGTAAAGCCATTCAAATGAATTTTTATCTTTTTCAGCATAATAACAGAGCAAAGTACCTGTAAATATAGTAAGGTAAGAGAAAGCTGAGTGCATAGCTTGCCTGGAAGCATGTGCCTAAAATATGCAAACATATGCAAATTAGATTGGACACCACATAAATAAACATCGGTTGTTGTATGTATCTGATTTGAATTTCAGGTGAACTCCCCTCAGTGTTTGCATAGGGAAATCACAGCAAGACTTTTACTTTGTCCCAGAACCTCACTGTTTTTAACAGACAACAACAGATGGCATGCTACAAGTGAAGGTGAGTGTTAATATTCGTTAAGTGTTACTTGATTCTTTGAGAATGAGATTTGAGATTTTTTATCATCTGAGCTACTTTTGATTAGAAATGGCTGTTAAACAACTTTATGCTGGATACCCAAAAGTAAGAGAGAGTCAGAGTATGTACTGTTCATTTAGACTCCAACAGATCTTAAACCTTCCTTTAGCCTTGTGGTTTTTCACACAGCTGCTCTTTGCAGTTTGGGTCTTGTTTGATTTTCCTTGTTAAATCCACAGCATTTGATAATAGGAAAGAAGCAGTTTAAAGAAAGTCACAAGACATGCAGCTGTAACGGCCGGCAGTGCTGAACTGAGCCTCTGTGTGTCAGTGCTGCCTGAGGCGTTGGGCTGCTGCAGCTAAAGTCGCTTTGAACTTTCTGAAGTTACATACTGTACTTTTCACTTCAATGAATCTCATTCATTTCAATGAGACATCGCAATCCTCCTGTGTTACATCTGGGACAAAGCAGCTGAGCTTGTTTGACAGGGTTTATTTACTTAAACATGGTTTGACCTGGGACTGATCTGGAAAAAAAAAAAGGTTTTGAAAACATGTATTTTCAACGTTTTTCTTGCATAAGAGAGCGTTTAATTCCATGTCTCTTTAATCTGAATTGAAGCACAAATATAGAGCCTAAACACCCTGAGATCTAATACAACTTGAATAATAGACCATTACAGAAGTTTAGACTATGAAGTAAGATATGAGATCTGTGGTTCCTCTTTGCTTAACTTATCACAGTGTGCTAAGTAAAGTTTACACACAATAAACTTAGCTATTTGGAACTTGCTTGAGGACTGGGATACTATACATTATTAGGGGAAGAACGCTCAGAGCCCCAGGCTATATTTTCTCTTTTTTTACACTACTTCATCTGTCTAAAAGGATGGCATTGTGACTTTTTTTTCTATTCTTCCTCTACGCTTCTGTACGAACAAACCCACCCAGACAACGTTATTATTTTTTCAAAAGCAGAACTTTTTCCTATTTCTGCTGTCACTGGGTGCTTTGGTGCCTCAGTTCCTCAGAAACTATTCAGAGTGTCTGAATCACGTCAGAGTTGATAATAAAAGTAAAGCTTGTGCTCAATGTTTCATTTTTAGACCATCTTTTAAGGAAGTACATGTGCAAAAACTGCTGTAAAACTTTCAGTCAAGGTAGGTTTGGATTTTCTCTGTTTGTTCTCTCTACCAGGAAAATTCTACAAACTTTTTAGAAAAGTGAGCAAACGACTATAGTATTGTTGAATTGACAGTAATAATGTAATATAATCAATGTTCTTTAATGCTTCACTACAAAAATATAATTGTTTTACTTGTTAAAAAAAAGACACCAAAACTAAATATCGATGCAGTAGATTGCAAAAGCAACGCCACCACCATTTTCTCATACAGCCTATGCTTAACGTTTTGCCCAGTTTTACCCAGTTTGTGAGATGTGGCAAGGTGTGAAGGCAGAGATAGCAGGATTAGTGCCTTGGAGAGATTTTATGAAAATGTTTTCTGTCCCGGGAAGTGAATGGGAGAATGTGTTTGGCGTGAGTCATGATAGTCCAGGTGGAGACAAACAGAACAAACAGAGGAAGAGAACGTGTGCTGATACATGCTGTGGAGGAAAGATGCAAATGCAAACAAAAGGTACCAGGTGCACTTTTCCCATTCACAGCTAGTGCTGAGAAAATATTAGTTGAAAACAATGTGCTGTAACTTAACGTGAAGTGAAAGAGAAGAGGAAAAGGACATAGAGTAGCTATATGAAGCTTACAGTGCAGTGCACAAAAAGGTCAATTTATTTGCTTGAAGGCACAACAGCAGTGGTCAGATGAGAGGCCTTGTGTGGGCTTTGATCCAGCAATCTTCTTTATAGCACTGAGATGCCTACTTCTCGCTAAACCCCCTAATAAACACCACACACACACACACATCACACCCCCTTCAGGTTGTTTTGAAAAATGAGTGACCTAATGTCTCTTGTCTTTCTGTAGAGTGAGCAGTGATGCATGCAGAGGCCAATCAGACTCAAAGAGCAGATGGTCAAACCAAAGAGCCGAACACTGTCATGGAAGACACTGAGGTATCAGAGAAAGGTAAAACTCACCTAATAATTATTAATTTACCCATATGTGAACAGAATGAGCTTTGTGTGCATACTTTTTGCATACATATAAGCCTAATTTAGGACAATTATGATTTTTAGAATTTTTATAATGTGACATTTTTATGATAAACACATTGATATTCATATTACCGTAATGCAGGGGGGGAAATGCAAGGAAAATTAAGATTTTAAGTAATGTTGGCTGAAAATGCTGAATAATCTTTCTTTCTTTCTTTATACTAATTAAATTCAGTTCTACAATTTTACTATTTAAGTAATACAGTTGAGCTCAAAAGTTTACATCCCCCTTTCATAATCTGCAAAATGTTAATTATTTTACCAAACGAAGAGGGATCATAAAAATGCATGTTATTGTTTATTTAGTACTGACCTGAATAAGATATTTCACATAAAAGATGTTTACATATAGTCCACAAGAGAAAATAATAGTTGAATTTATAAAAAATAACCCCGCTCAAAAGTTTACATTGATTCTTAATACTGTGTTGTTACCTGAATGATCCACAGCTGTTTTTTTTTTTGTTTTTTTTTTTGGTTAGTGATAGTTGTTCATGAGTCCCTTGTTTGTCCTGAACAGTTAAACTACCTGCTGTTCTTCAGAAAAATCCTTCAGGTCCCACAAATTCTTTGGTTTTCCAGCATCTTCTGCATATTTGAACCTTTTCCAAAAGTGACTGTATGATTTTGAGATCCATCTTTTCACACCGAGGACAACTGAGGGATTCATATGCAACTATTGCAGAAGGTTCAAACACTCACTGATGCTCCAGAAGGAAAAAGCATAGAGCCGGGGGGTGAAAACGTTTTGCATTTGAAGATCAGAGTAAATGTAACTTATTTTGTCTTCTGGGAAACATGTAACTATCTTCTGTAGCCTCTCAAGGGCAGTACTAAATGAAAAAAATATGATATTTAGGCAAAATAAGAAAAATGTACACATCTCCATTCTGTTCAAAAGTCTTCTACAATGATAAACCTCACCGTAACACTATATGTTTGTATGAGAAAATACATTTTCCTTGCAACTGCTCCCACTTGGCATTTATGAATTAGATTTTCCACATGAGGAAACCACTGTGTATGGCCTTTAGTGAGATGGTGGACTGATTTGCACAACAGTTTCACAGGACCCAATACAACATACCCATTTAGAGCTGCACTTGAAAGCACAGACCATTAATTACAAAGAAGAGAAGTGAATAATTCATTATGCTTAGGTCACTACAGGAGCAGCCTGAGATTGGAATTGTACTGATGGACAAAAGCCCTGGAAGAGAAGCTTTTAGCAAATGTTTCAGTTATGGCTGAGAAGAAGAAAGTGTGCAGATAGAACCTGTTGGATGTGTAAGGGATAAAAACCTCCGTTGAGTCACTGTTGTCTACTCCTGAGTTGTGTATGGCCTTTAGTGAGATGGTGGACTGATTTGCACAACAGTTTCACAGGACCCAATACAACATACCCATTTAGAGCTGCACTTGAAAGCACAGACCATTAATTACAAAGAAGAGAAGTGAATAATTCATTATGCTTAGGTCACTACAGGAGCAGCCTGAGATTGGAATTGTACTGATGGACAAAAGCCCTGGAAGAGAAGCTTTTAGCAAATGTTTCAGTTATGGCTGAGAAGAAGAAAGTGTGCAGATAGAACCTGTTGGATGTGTAAGGGATAAAAACCTCAGTTGAGTCACTGTTGTCTACTCCTGAGTGCTCTGTTTTCAATGGGAGCATATCGGTGCCATGGAAAAAAAGGGCTTCTGAGGTGCAGTTTGTAAAGGCATGTAGTACTTACTCTGCTCTCAGAATAAAGATGCAGAATAGAACTCCATTTTCACTGCCTGTTTACAACAGAGTTCAGACCTTCATGATAGACATCATACTTTTATGTATATCAATGAAGCCTTGTGGTTTACACACATCCTATCCTAGAGTCGGATAGATACAGTAAATAGATAGAGATAGATAGATAGATAGATAGATAGACAGACAGACAGACAGACAGATAGATAGAGTGAGGATAGTGTGAGGATGGATGGATGGATTTGTAATGCGTGCACACATATCTAAATGCTCACTGACTGTGAAAATGTCAGACTTTTAATTCACCCACATTCATTCTCTCAGCTAAAGTGCAGGCGTTTCTCTGATTAACACATATTTACACAACGATTTGTGTGTTATCCTCTCACATCCATGTGCACACATTTACAATGTAGATTACAAAGCCAGAACATTATTTGTCTCCCTTTCTTAATCTCTCTATCAGTCTCTCTCCTGTGTGAGTCTGAGTAATTGTCATTTGAATTGCAATCAGTGAGAAATTGCACATTGGATATTTCATATGGAATCAATGACTGCTGGTATTCGATATGTACTGGTCACACAGATTGCTTTTCAGATTGCACACATATTCAGGGACATTATGCAGTGGCCTCACAACCTTTTTTGGAAGTAGAAACACAATGCCAGTTTAACAGCTTTTATGTTTTGTATTTAATATTAATCAGGTAATCACATAAAATCTCTCTGCTCACTGTCTGTACTCTGTTCTCACAGTCTGAAGTGAGTTTCTTTGGCCACCTGATGTCAGCATTGCAAAGACTACATCGGCAACTCATATCTTGACAGAACACTAATTTTGGGCCTATGTCTGAGAAGTGTAGTTTCCTGTTGTTCTCATTTTGCAGTTTTTCTTCTCTCCCACTAAGGTTAATGTACAGAATGATGGTATGTAGCAGTGCTACCTTTCTTCTTGTACTGAAGAATATTAACATGCCTTAAAACTAATAGGCACACATACAGTATATAGTGGGGATGTCTTTGGAACATCTCATCAGGAAAACATTGCGTTACATTTTAAACATCATATTACAAATACAACATTTTTAAAGGAAGAGTTCACCCAGAAATTCTGTCATCATTTAATCTAATTTTACCCTCATGTCTTTCCAAACCTGATTAACTTACCTTCTTCCACAGAACCCAAAAGGAGATGCTAGACAGCAAACAAGTCTGTTTTAAATGGTAGTGAATGAATTTGCAATATTATTTTTCCTTTCAATTTCAATAAAATAAAGACATTACAGACAAATTATTTTTATAGACTACAAATATAAAGCAAAAGGGCTAGGAGACACAAAAATAAAAATAAATGTAAAAATAAAAATAAAAATAAATAAATTCTTCATCATTTACTCACCCTCATGTTATTCCAAGTTTGTATGACTTTCTTTCTTTGTTGAGAAAAAAAGTGTTGTGTTTTTTCTTTTTTTCCCCATGGAAGTCAATGGTAACCAAAACTGTTTGGTTACCAATGCTCTTTGTAATATCTTCTTTTGTGTTTCACAGAAGAAAGAAAGTCATAGAGGTTTAGAACAACATGAGGGTGAGCAATGACAGAATTTTGATGGCAGAATAAAAAATTTCCGGTAAACAATCCCTTTAATCACTCAAATTGTATGGTTTGAATATAATATCTAATATAAAATATAATATAATATCTGATATAAAAATCTAAAGTAGCACTACATTTGACAGCGTCCTTGTTACATATGTTACATGTACTCATAGTAATATGTAATACCAGTAAATTATGCATAAGAAACTAACCCTAAACAAACCCTAATCCTGACCCTAACTCTATAGTAAGTACATGTTGTTAATTAATATTACCCAGTGCCATAATTGCATATTTAGACTGTAACAAAGACATCTTAAAGTAGAGTGTAACCAAACCCAAAATGTCTGAATACAAAAAAAGTAGCTGAAAAATAACCAGATGATTTTGGCCTCCATCAAGATGACCTTGTTCTTTCATCCATCAAGGAAAATGTTAGCAGCAAAGTCTCTAAAAATAATGAAAATGCTCAAATATTCAAATAGCATTCAAAAATAGTCATTTAGTCCACTATGTTACTATAAGTTGAGGAATATTTTATTCTAAAACTTTTTCCAGAGAAAAATAGTGTCGCCACCATTACTGAAGTAACCTTCCTACAAACTTTATCTGTGTGTACGTCAGTGTGGAATTGTGTGCCGTGTTGACGGCGAACTCATTAAGGACTAAATGAAAGCGATGAGATGTGATTTTAGACCGCATCTGGAACAAATGGCCCAGGCGTTCCCTGTTCAGTCTGGCCAATTTCGGGGGCCCGTACCAACCCACAACCCCCCTCTCCACCCGCCGACAGACACACACACAGGTTTAGATCTGATATTTATTTCATCGGGTTTGTGTACGCAGTTGGTCTGATATGAATGTGATTCCACGCTTTGATGCAGAGACAGATTGTAAAGTGTGATTTTATTAAATCCTTCATTAGGATTCATCAGTGAGATTGGATCAGAAAAAGGTCACTGTGCAAATTCGGCCCACTCACCCCCCAACGGCACCCCTCGCTCTCGCCCTCCCTCTCGTTTGCCTTCGCTCTCTCATTTCTCTCTCATTTGCTCTAGTAGGAGGGGGGGTTGGCCACCGCTACTGAAATGAATTTGCTGTGAAAATGGGGAAAAATTAGCATTATGGGCTGGTGGAGGAATACAAGGTGAAAGTGACATTATCTCCCCCTTCACGTCTCCTCCCTCTCTTCTCTTTCCCCTCCTCCTCTCATTCCCCGCTTCCGTTCTCCGGTGCCTTTGCGGGACGATGGTGCCACAAATCATTTGTATGCTCTCATTTGGGTCTACAAGCCGCGATGGTGCTTACTGCTCACGGAGCAGATGACTTTCAGAGAGGGGGGAGTAAAGGGGGAACGGCTATTTTCTGGCACATGAAAACATCAGTTGGAGTTGGAGCTGAAATTGAGAGGGAAATTGCTCTCGCCATATGTCATCTTTTGCTCAGGGCTTTTTTTTTTTCATTGGGTGCATGTTACGCATGCGTCTGCACACGAAGCAGTTTTCCTGGTGTGAATTGTTATCATTGAAGTGTAATGTGTGCCCTAATGGGAACGCCAGTTTATCTGTATCTG